TTGCACGCATTTTCATTACGCCTCATTTTTCACCCATACACTCACACGCACGCACGCACAGACACAGTTACACACGTTCGGACCGAATATTGAAATTTGCAACTCGATTTGCTGCTGTGCGCTCGTCGCTTTCTCGATAACTACTTAATTCACTACTTTTTACATATTAAGCTGGGCAAGTGTTTAATTGATTTCCAACGAAACTATTCTCGAAAGACCAAAAAACGCACGCAAGAGAGCACGAGAAAAATGGTGCGATTTTTTCCCTTGCCTGCAAGCACACACACACACACACTTGTACATGGATTTAGATGGAGTAAGACCGTATTGAAATAGGAGGGAAATACTACAGGCTGATTACTGATCAAAAGGAAACTGGATAATTAAAATAGCTTTCCCTGTTCATTTTAAATTGATATTTTATAAGTGTACAAGTGCTTAAGATAGAACTCACTCACAGCTCTTTTTACATTGGATATGTTTAAACATAATTATTAAATAAAAATACTGATTGAAATACTGTTTTTGGCGAAGCCAATTAGCCGGCAACTTTGCTTATCTACACTTTAAAACTGTATAAATCCATGGTAAACACTTTCGTGTAGTTTTTAACTGGTAATAGAACTTAATAATACGACAAATTTTTACTGAACTTTTCTATTTTTTGCTTACGCATACACACTGACGAAAACAGGATAAAAATCAACGACTCTCTACCATGCTAAATATATTCCTATATTTAATTCAATGAATAAACCTTTTTTTTTTAATTATAATTACGTTCGATTTTTACAGTTTGTTTTCGCGGTTGATTTGGGACTAAAAAACGAATCTGCCTTGTTCTAGGGTGGCCACAATTCAACCACTAATCAAATACCGAATACTAAAATACCGCATCTGCAACACGTGCGAGTTCAGTTCTCTCCCCAAAAAGTAAATAAATTACATTTTACGATTTTTACGCAGAAACAACATGCTAAATAATAAAAGGAAAGCGGAAAAGTTGGTAAGAATGTTTTGTCTTTATGGGAAGAATTTGGCCTAAAACTTACTTTGTTTATGTGCGCGCACCTAAGGATGCTGCTCGAATAGATTCCCAAGGAAATGCCCATTTCGAGGATCACAGCGACCTGAAGTACTCCGCTTCAAGTACCGACGATGACTGTGATGAAACAAAACCCACAATGGCCAGGAAGGTCCCACTGCCCACTGCCATACCAAAGAAGAAAAAGTTCCAGCAGAGGGACGACACCAAGAATGTAAAGCCGCCTACTTTGGAGGAAATGAAGGAGCTGCGGGATACACAAAACCTCTTCCACTCCAATCTCTTTAAGCTACAAGTTAAGGAAATGCTGGAGGAGCTGCAATTAAAGCAGAAATACACAGATTTCATTGAAAACTGGATGGAATCCTTTACGGTCTTTACCCGACAACTAAAGGATGGCTTGATGGAGTGGACCCACTTGGAAATTCCAATGAGGCTTTCTCAAAAGCCGACCGGCTTTGTTTTCTCCAAGCCCAACAGGGATCCTTATCTGATCGGAGCCGCCGCCACGGGCACATTGCTGGGTCCCAAAATTGTAGTCGACGTGGCTCTGGAGATGCCAAAGGAATTCCTGCACAAAGAAGACTACCTGAACCTTCGCTATGACCAGAAGCGAGCTTTGTACCTTACTTATGTGACGGAGAGATTAAAGGAGTCACCAGCTTATGCACAGGATCAGTTTTATTTCAACTACTATGCTAACAATCCGCTGAAACCAGTCCTGGAATTGATTCCAGTGAACAAGCAAGTTAACAAGCATCTGCAAGTGCGTGTGTTCATCACTGCCCCGTTAAGCAGTTTTAAGTCAGGCAGATTTGTTCCCTGGAACAACAATATTCGGCCCTCGTATTACGGTGACGAATGGGACGAGGAAGAGCCGCTACCCTCCACCCAACACTACAACGCAAACGTACTGTTTGATCTAACTTTGTGCGAGAACCAGGCTCACTTGGATAAGGCCTTTAAGGGCAGGCGTAATTTTCAGGACGGCCTGCTGCTCCTTAAAGTATGGCTGCGTCAGCGGCAACTGGACATAGGTTACAGTGGTTTTGGGGCCCACATCCTGGCCGCCTTTATTGTGTACCTAAATACGCAGCGCATTCTGCATCAGTCAAGCAGCAGCTACCAAGTGGCACGCACTGTATGGAACCAACTGGCGAACACGGACTGGACGAAAGGCATTAGCCTAGCCCTTGTTCCCATTCAAACGGAAGAATTAACCAAGTTTGCCAGGCACTATGACGTTTGCTTTATAGACTTCACTGGTCAGCATAATTTATGCGCAAATATTCCGCTGTACCTGTATCAGAGAGTTCGAGAGGAGGCCAAACTGGCGGTGGAACTACTGAACGACATGAAGCTAAATAGTTTCCCGCTCATCTTTATGCAAAAATGTCCACTGTACAGCAGGGTGGATAATATCCTAAAGTATGTGCAGCTAAAATGTGAAAGTTTTTCAATTATAAATTTAATTATTTTTTTCTCCAGAATTTCCAATTATTCGTGTATAAATCAGATGCTTACACTGCATTCCCAGCCTCGATTTAAGTATGATTTTGCAAAATATGGTTACCCGCAGCTGCTACATTTAATTACGGAGTGAGATAACTAAGCAATTCAGACAACTTACAAAACAATAATAATAATAATAATTTTAGGCTCCTTAAAAAGGGACTTGCTGAACGTGTCCACTCTATAGTACCCCTAGAAACTGCGACACCCGCTTGGCCTGTGGAAAACAAAGCTCCCGTTATTGGGAATTACATTCAACTAGGCCTAATACTTCAGCCAGAGCACGCCTACGAGGTGTTAAACAAAGGACCTGCTTCCAACGACGATCCTGAGGGAGCTGAGGAGTTCCGACGATTCTGGGGAGAGAAGTCAAACCTACGTCGCTTTCAGGATGGCAGCATCACCGAAGCTGTGGTTTGGGGGACCGCCAAGGATTCACCCGCCAAGAAGCGACTTATTGTTCGCCAGATTGTTCTGCATCTACTGGAGCATCACCTACAACTGGACAGCAAGGAAGTGCAATACATTGCCGGCGAGTTGGACCAAGTCTACCAGCTGTCCCCTTGGTTTAAGGTCGATAAGTTAAAGACCCAGTTGTCATTGGATCAAGATACCGACGCAGAGGCACTTAGTCCGCACGTCATCCGCTGCTATGATGAGTTTGCACGGCAACTACATGGACTGAATGATCTTCCTTTAGAGATTGTCTCGATATCAGGCGTATCGCCCATTTTCCGCTACTGCGAGCCACAGCCCGTGCTCCCACAGGCGCGTCTGGTAGAAAACCGCATCCTGGCAAGCACCATTCAGCGTGTGGTAATCCAGCTAGGGCAAAGCGGCAAGTGGCCCACCGAACTTACAGCATTGCGGGCTCTTAAGACGGCCTTCCTTATCGAAATTGGCGAAAAGTTGGAGGCGCAGTGCCGTCTTCATTGGATGATGTCCGCCGACGGTCTTCTCGTGCTCAAGCAAGGTTACTGCTTTGTCATAGAGCTGGCACACAACAAGGAGCTCGCGTTGCTTAAGCAGGAGGTTACTGATACTGGCATAACTACATATAAAGATAATGCAACCAGTCGTTCATTAGAGCGACAACATTATATTCTACCCAAAGTAAGCGGGGCTCTACATTCGCTTCATCAAACTTACAGTGCATTTGGTTCCACTGTGCTGTTGGCCAAGCGCTGGCTAGCCACACAACTGCTGGACGATGGGCTGTGGCCTGATATGGCTACTGAGCTACTGGTGGCGCATCTCTTCCAGCAGCGGTATGCACCACAGTCCATAGCGGCGCCTCAAACTGGATTCATACGCTTTCTGCAGCTAATTGCTCATAGCGATTTTAATGGAGAGCTCTTCCTGCTAAACTTTAACAATAGCTGGCAGGGTAAATCATTTATTACCAGTCCATAAATTTATAAAATATTTACATTTTACGTTCTCTAGATCAACAAATTGCGGATCTGGAGCACAACTACCGCAGCAACCGTCAGAGTTTTCCTCCTTTAACTGTGGCCACCTCCTACGACATCCAGCATGCCGGGCGATTATGGACCTCGGATCAATCCCCCAGCCAACGGGTGCTAGGACATGTGACGCGACTGGCCCGCCATGGGCTCGATATTGTCGAAACCAGCCTGATGTCGAAGGATCTGAGGTTTGTGCGGCCGGCCCAATTATTTCGAGCTTCCAACGAGGGTTACGACCTGGTTATACAATTTAAGCCAGATCTGGTGCCGAATACCTTAAGTTATGATCTGGGGTCACCATTCGTTTCATTTAGCCAGCCAAACTTCCACTTGCCCCGCGCTGGATCAGATTACATTGCACGAATTGTGGGACAACTAAGAGTAAGATGTTAAAAGGCTGATGTATTTGAAAATTCTCATTTTCCTTCTTTTTGTCGGTTAGTCTGCATACTCCGACTTTGCTGCTTTCTTTTACAATCCACACGGAGGCAAGGAACTGGCTATTGTATGGCGGCCACCAACAGATTTCGCTGCAAAGCCATTTAAGGTCACAGAGCTAAACGCATGCCGTCCTTGTGGTAATAGAAGGGTCCAAGTATCCAAGGAAACGCTGCTCGAGGAATTTAAACTGCTACTGAAAGATTTCTACCTGCGCATTGCCACACCAGAGGAGCTCAAGAGGGAGCAACGCGAGCATCAGCAGCCCAAGCGGTACTTTAATACCAACCAGACAGAGAAGTCCAGGCCAGAGCGGAAGGTACGAAGGGACCGCAAGAAAGAGGCACTACCCAAACGTCGCATAAGAAGATCGGCTCTTAAGGCCTTGATAGAGTTAGAGAAATAGCATAACAGTTATTAAGTTAAACAATCAGTAATGTTAAATATTATAAACAAAATAGCTTTACTTTTGGTTAAAAAAAACTGGCATATAGAAGCATGTGAAATCGCGAAAAGCGATGATATAGTGGTAGAAACTATGGCATCACTTCTGCTCCTGCTGTAGCATTTCGTGATTAGAATTGGGCCCAATGTATCCGGTCAACCCGTATGTTTTTTTTCTTATTTGGTTGGAGACTGGAGATCGCGGGTATGGAGTTTTACCCAATGGATATGATCTATAGAAATGAGGTTCCTCCAAGTTATTGCAATGCCTAACCTCTCGGGGGAGATCAACGCGGATTTGTCTTGATGTGCAAGGCTGCTCCTGTGGACGTATGGGCGACTGAACCTGAGGCTGTACCGGTACCATCAGCTCCTGTTCCGTGCAGGTCTGTTGTGACTTACAGTGCCGACAGGGACTATTGCTTTCCGCCGATGAAGTGTAATCACATTCAGCTGATGTGTATGACCCGGCTGAGGTCGTTTCAAATAGGTGGCTATGTGAGGTACCGCACCCTGTGGAGTTCGTTATGGGTTGAGCCTGGTATGCCCAGGCTAGAGGTTCTTTCTGCATATAGGAATTTGCACTGAGACAGCTTTGAGTTTGGCAACTTGCGTTCTTTGGCGGCGACTCCTTTTTCACAATGGAAGTTGCACCAGGACAAGTCTGAGTTTGGCAACTCGCATTCTGCGGTATCTCGTTCTCCACAGTTGGCGGTTTATTGGCAAAGTTTTGAGTTTGACAGCTCGAGTGGTGCGTCTCGCACCTGGGACAGTGCTGGCATCCAGTGTTTGTCATTAAGCCGCATGTCGAGGTGCCGGCACTGTAGCAAAGTGGAAAAAGGGGCTCCGCTTCTACCTTTTTTTTGGACCAGCCCAATTGAGTAGACACACTGGCAACCGTCTTCACTGGGTTGGAGGTTTCCTGAAGGAACGGACAGGTATCATTGATACACTTTGTAGGGTGCTTCACATCCTCATCGATGTCCATCTGCATTCGGACCCTTTTTCCGGCGGCATTGCGGATGAGATCATCCAGAGCGCAGAAATTCGAGGTGTTCGGCTGGGAAAAATTCATTGGACCTGGTGAAGACGTGTCCACGGGAGAAAACTGGCCGTTGGGTCCTAGGCGATTGTAGCTAAGCAGCCGTATGTCTTCCACACGACGAATGTCCTGCTGGGTGAGAACGAATATCTCGTTGCCCACCATTATGGGAACTTGCCAAAGAAATGTCAGTCAATTCTCTATCTATTATAGTAAAAGATCGATGCTCACTATGCACAGCTGGAGCCATTTCCTCCGATACATGCATCACTTTTTTCGCAGTAGAATTGTTCGCCATTGCCTAGGATTACACAAATTTTGGAAAATATTTTCAAATTTGATCTGAGAATTTAGCATTTGTACACAACTTTTTTTTACAAAACACAAAAGGATAACGATACTTTGATTAGCAACAATTTTTAACAATTTCGGAATTTAAATTAAACAGTTACATCCGTTCACAAATAAAATATAATATTATTAGGAATTATAAAAAATTATATTTTCAAGGCTTAAGAAAAATGCGGTATTTGTAGTTCTCTTAAGTTTAAAAATGTTTATTACCGTGGCAAAGATCACAATCAAGTTTAGAAAAAATCATCGCCCCATGAAAATATTTGCTTAAGCTAAACATACAGTCTAAATCATAAACTAATCCAAGTTGAGGCAGTTTAAATAAAGGAATTATAATGTGTTTTTCCACAAAAATGCTGTCGCACTCTTTAAAAATCGGTTATATGAAGGTAATTAACAAACCTTTCAAATTAGCCAAATGGGAGCCGAAACTCACAGAAAAATACTTGATTGCAACATTTAAATTAAGTCCTATTAAACCGTACACTAAGTTTTGTTTAAGGAAATTATTGTTTTTTTTTTATAAATAAAAACTACAGTCCCGGCTGAAATTCGTGTTCCTCCGTGCCATTTTAACTGCGTACTGATTCCTCCTTAACATTGGGCGTAATACTGGCCGCCGTCACAACGGAGTCTTTGTCCTTGTTTCCAAAATCCGGGTACAGCTTGGCCACTTGACCCAACGGAGTGCAAAGGCGTCCCGAGAAGTCCAATCTTTTGTTGGACTGACTTCGCTCTGCTGAGGATATAATATCTAACAGGGACCTGGCGACAATCATTAGTCGAGAATTATTAAGGATTCTATCAAGGAATACGGACATACCTTTGCCCACAACTAGACATGCGACGCTTGCTGGCCTTGAGAAGGCTATTGGAGTTGCTGCTGCCACTAGCACTGCCGCTAGTGATGGGCTCCAGGCGTTCAGGAGAGAGTGGGGATTCCGTGTAAGAGCGCAGGAGACTGGCTCCTGGTTCCGACTTCAGCGGGGCATCACCGTATGCGGCCCGCAAACTCTGTAGGCTTTCCAGAAGATTTTTATGATGCATTGTGGTGGCATTGAGTTGGATAAGTTGCTCCAGTTCCCTATACAGCAAGCGATACTGGTCCTTTGCCTTGGAAAGCTTTAGTCTATTTAGGATCGAGATGAAAGTTGTTATTAAAATACAAAAATTTAAACAAATTGCCTATTGATTGTTTACCTTGCTCCATTGGTGTGTGTAAATGGTAGAACATCGCCACGCGAGGCGCTTTTGTACAGTTCGTGAATGTGCTGCTGGCACCGCACCTCGTCTTGCTTATCCATGTCCTCCTTGACCAAAATATGAAGAAAATGCGGTAGCCAATTGATATGGCGCTGTAGATGGAACAGTATCGAAGAGCTGGTAGTCAGAGGAAAGTAGCGTGGCAGCCGGCGCGCCAAAGGCGGAGCAGATGGATCCTTAACCTTTAGCGGAACCATGCGCGACATCTTGATCAGTTGACCAAGTTCGGCGGTGCGATAGTCCGAGACGCGTCCCCCGGGGCCATCAGTAATGGATGGTGCCTCATCCATGCAGGAACGCGTGATGCACAGGGAATGCACAAAGATCTCGCCACCGCGAGCAGACAGCATATGGCTGGTGGCCTTCGAGCCGGTCTTGCGCGGCATTTCCAGCAAGACTGAGCGTCCGTTAAGCAGAAAGTTAATCAAGCATGAACTGGGCCGCGAGGTGACGTCCACCGGTGTCACGAGGAATTGACCCAGGCAGGGCTGTAGATCAGCAGAGCCGCAACCGCGTGGTGTGCACCACTTAAGAGTCACCGTTTCGTATGTGGCGCCTTGTTTGATGCTCGTGGGTAGACTGAAATCTGGACCACAGGTGATGGAGTGGGCCCTACGGCTGTGCAGGATTTCCACATCGTAGTTGGCGCTGGAGTTGGCGTTCTGCTCTTCCTTCATGGGTATGTTGGTCACCGTGGTACTGGCTAGGTCATAATGATTCAGTATGAGGTGCGTCAGCTTGTACGAGATATCCGGGGCACTGACTGTGTGGATCTCGACGTCCAGCAGCGGCGAGATCTTGAGCAGGCTGCGATTAGTGACCAGCGATTCGACGCCTAGCGGCACAATGTTGAGGATAACCAGGTGGCAATGGTCGATGACCAGTCCCTTCTTGGCTGGTGGCGCGGCTAGGGCGTTCTGTTGCACCAGCACTGTGTTAAAGATGTCTTCTAAGCTCTTCATGCTGGTATTGTCCCGCGCCGAGGTGATGCAAATGACGCGACCCTTGTTGGGAATGCGCGGCAGTTCGTCGGTCCCAAGGTCGGCCATAGCCGCCAACTGCTCATCTGTGGGCTCCGCCAGCGCTTCGATGGCGGCTCGCAGGCCATGGATTACCGAGTAGTCTGAAGATGTTGCTACGTTGCGTGATGGGACGCCCACCATTACCATTGCGTTCATCACGTGCGACATATTTTGTGTGCTGTGACTCCAGGTGTTCACGATATGCGCCGCCGTGTCCGAGACAATGAACCGCACATGCTTTTTGCCGGGAAAGAGATCCCAGACCACGCGGCAGTACTCGATGGAGGATTCGCAGGCGCATGTCCAAAGGCTCTTGCTGAATTGGGATCCACCGCCGCCGGTAGCATTTCCCGCCGCTCCTGTTGCGCCGCCGTCTGCAGACGGTTTTCCCTTTAGGAAGTCCATCGAGATGTACTCTTCGCTGGCGATGCTGAAGTATCGGGTGTGGTCCAGCACAAAGATGGTCTTCTGGTTGCGTTCGAACATGGTGGGCTCGTCTGGACAACTAAAATTGCAGGGAAATTAAAAAAAACACAAGCGTTGATTCCTAATTGTTTACAAAAATTTTTTTTCACCACGAACAGCTGTTTTCAATTTCCAAATTGACCACTGTTCAATTTTTTTTAGTTTTTTGTATCTTAGCAAATATGTTGAAAAGCTCTTTTTTCAAATTCACCAAAATAAGAAAGAACAAATTTTTAAAAAATATATCGATGAATATATACGTGTTACGAACTTGTCCGTCTCCAATTTACCGCATCTGGCAACGCCACACTCTCCTAGAATCACGTTGTTAAGCGAAAGCTGTCAAAATTTCGTAATATTTTCTAGATTGTTTTTTTTTCCACATTCTGAGTGAAAACCGCGAGCAGCGCACGCCAACGTATTAGGACAATGTCGTGGCTTTTGGGCAGGAACCGCCAGCAGCCGCAGTCGGATCAGTCCGCCGGCTTTTCGGACGGAGGAGGAGCTGCCGATCCGGAGGGCAGGACGGCCGGCGAAAAGTCCGGTGATGCGCAACTGAGCCGGGCGGAGCGCAAGGCCATGGAGGCGTACCGCTTCGATTCGTCGGCTCTGGAACGTGCGGCGGATGCTGCCAAAACCCTGGAGCGTTCAAGTAAGCCGAAAATTTCATCAGCCAATTGCATAACCGACATACGCCATGCTATCACAGTGTGCGTGTGCGTCAGAGTCCATGTCCATGTCCATGACCCATGTTAATCTTGTGCAGAACACGCCCGGGAGGCCCTCGAGCTGTCCAAGATGCAGGAGGCCACCCGACAAACGGAATACAACACCAAGGTCAAGGAGTACGAGGCCCATATCGAGCAGGCAAAGGTCGAGCAGAAGCGCATCGATCACGAGGAGCGCCGCAAGACTCTCATCGAGGAGACGAAGCAGCAGCAACAGCGTGCCCAGTACCAGGATCAGCTGTCCCGCAAGCGGTATGAGGATCAACTGCAGCAGCAGCAGCGCGTACAGGAGGATAACCTGCGCAAGCAGGAGGAGAGTGTCCAGCGCCAAGAGGCCATGCGGCGCCAAACCATCGAGCACGAGATCGAGATGAAGGAGAAGAACCGTCTCAAGCTTCTGGAACACGAGCTGCGGGCCAAGGCTCGTGTGGATCGCGAGAACCGGGATATCAATTTGGAGAAGATCCGTCTTAAGGCGCAGGAGCATCGAACTACCGTATTGGAGGGCATCAAGTGAGTGATTCCCCAAGCTAAGCAAGATGATGTAACTGATTTCCCATAACTAATTGACAGAACCGCTGGTACTGTCATCGGTGCCGGGGCTGAAGCTATGCTTACCGACTGGGACAAGGTGCTGACCGCCGCCGGAGGACTTTCGTTGTTGGCCCTGGGCGTGTACACGGCCAAGGGCGCCACCGGAGTGGTCTCTCGATATGTGGAGGCGCGCATTGGCAAGCCTACGTTGGTTGGCGAGACGTCGCGCTTTGCATTTCTGGATGCCCTTAAGAGCCCGCTTCACTACCTGAAGAGGCTGCGCGCCAAGCCGACTGATGCCCTGCAGGGCGTTGTTCTGAATCCAAAGCTGGAGGAGCGGCTACGTGACATTGCGATCGCCACGAAGAACACACGTATTAACAGGGGCATGTACAGGAACGTTTTGATGCACGGCCCACCCGGAACGGGCAAGACCATGTTCGCTAAGAAGCTGGCCGAGCACTCTGGCATGGACTTTGCCATCATGACCGGTGGCGATGTGGCGCCAATGGGCAAGGAGGGCGTAACGGCCATACATAAGGTGTTCGACTGGTCGCACACCTCTCGCCGCGGACTGCTGCTCTTCGTGGACGAAGCGGATGCGTTCTTACGCAAGCGCTCCTCAGAGAAGATCTCAGAGGATTTGCGTGCCGCCCTGAACGCCTTCCTGTACCGCACCTCCGAGCAGAATCCCAAGTTCATGCTTGTGCTGGCTTCCAACACGCCCGAGCAGTTTGATTACGCTATCAACGATCGTCTGGACGAGATGGTCGAGTTCACGTTACCTGGCCTGGAGGAACGGGAACGCCTCTTGCGCCTGTACTTCGACAAATATGTACTGCAGCCTGCCGCTGCGGGTGCCAAGTAAGTATTTCCAGAGTCCTTGCAGTTGGAACATGTAGTAATAATTTACTTAAATTCTCTTATAATCTAGGCGGTTCAAGCTGGACACCTTTGATTATGGCAAGACGTGTTCGAAGATGGCCGCTCTGTGCGAGGGCATGTCGGGTCGAGAAATCTCCAAGCTGGGTGTGTCCTGGCAGGCGGCAGTCTATGCCTCCGAGGATGGTCTGCTCACCGAGAAGATGGTCCTGGACAGGTGCTACTCCGCTGCTCAGCAGCACAAACAGAAGGTGGGTTTAAAAATGTGTATTGACTCATGCGCCTTCAACTGGTAACCTTCAACCATGTATCTTTTGCAGATGGCCTGGCTATCGGATCAGGAGCGTGCCGATCACAAATCAATCACAGGCGCACCTGCTCCACCCCTTACCCTTACTGCCAACAAACTGTGAAGCGCGGAGAAGGAGCTAACATCGAGTAGATGCAACCTGCATTCAAAACTTGTTTAGTTTTCTAATCATTTAACTTTAAGTTGGTACGCACAGGGCTTTATCTTACTAACGGACACCATTCAGCAGCCGAGACACCAAAAATGTGCATATCGGTTACGTGTATGCATTTAACAGCCTGTACATAATCGTTGGCGGAAACAAGTGTTCGTCTATAGATGCAATTAAGTTTGACCCACTGATAATTGTATTATAAGCCTACATTTACTGTCTCAATAGATTATACAATAATAGGTATATATTTTAACTGCTGTTGTTGCATTTCGTATGTTAAAGCTTTGGACGTAGGCTGTAAATTGAATTCGGTCGCGCCAGCACTGTGAGAGATTTATATTAAACTTCTCGCTGGCGCTTCCACCAATTTGACTTGTCCGCAGTGTTTTCCTATGTATGAGTATGAAGTATGAAGTAAATATATATAAATTACCTGTTAGAGATTGCATTTTTATTTCGCCTTTCCTAGCTAGAGGTAGAATTGCCATTATCATTACCTTCCTAAAGTAGTTTCAATGCTCCAGAACAATCTCGGAACATCTAGTTATATTCTTGGCTCTTTTTTTTTTTAATATAAATTTTATGATTTCAATAATTCATTGAAATACAATACAATACAAGATATTTTTTGTTTGCCCCACCTAGCGGAGAGTAGGTGTAGTAGTTGCCAACTATATTTGTCAATGCTAAATGAAGCGACATCTGAGGGACTTTATGTTTGGCATTGTTAGCTTACTGCAAATTCTCTTCCATAGGTGTCGCAAAGTCCATGTGCAGTAAAACTAATACAAAAATCAACTTTCTAAAACCATGTATACATATGTATTTTATATATTCAAAGGCGAATGCTACTTTAACAACCCCAATCTCCTTTTTCACTAAAAAAGTTTTTTACAAATCCATTAATCATACATATGTATATATCCGAAGTTCCTGTCCCAATTTTTAAATATGATTATTCGATTGTAATCTTATCGATATAAAAAAGGATATTTCAAAAAAGCAAAAAGTGTAACCCTTTATACCCAAGCTTATCGGGTGCTTCCACCACACAAGCAGTGTAAACTGCTTTGTGCAGCAGGGACCCGAACCTCAAGAAGTACAGTTTGGGAAACATTTTGATGGGGCGGCAGCACTGTTTTTGCTTGCTTTGGATTTGGCGCGCGAAATTTGAATTTGGGACAAGCGCGACGAAATATTTAATTTTAGATGTCCGCGAAAAAATCATTCAGTTTCAGCCTCACTGGATATATTTCTCTGCAAAAAAAGTTGGCCCACCCACGCCAAAAACATATTAAAATATATTTTAATTTTTTTAACAAATTCTTTATATTTGCTTGCGTTTTTAATTTTTTTGTTCTTTTGTGTTTTTTTTTCGTTTGTTTTTTTCTTTTATAAAACTTTGTTTTAAGTTGTTCTTTTGTTTGTTGTTTTCTGCGGTTTTGTATATAAATAATAATACTTATGGCTAGTAATATAGTAAACGTTTTTCTATTTTTCATCAATTTCGCCTTGTACGCCAAATGCTGCATCGTCTTTGGGCCAAAACGTAAATTTTGTTAATTGATTTGGGTTTGAAAAATCTCCAACGGCCTTTTGTGGTTCGATTTGATGCTGTTGTTCTTGTGTGGTGTTGAATCGAAAAACTGCAACAATTGCAACTAACAATGCTAAAGTTACGCTAATATAGAATTTTGTTTTGCTTCCGTTTCAAACTTACTTGGCTAGGAGTTCGCTGTTCTGCCTTAAGACTAACAATATTTACACTTAGAAAAATTTGCTAATAGTTTTGCTTGCTCATTTGTCATATTCATTGTTTTGCCATTTCTTCGATCTCTCTTAAGAATTTCATTAAAGATTGCAATTAATTTGTGTCCCCGATTGCTTGTGTGAAGGAAGGGAGAGGGGTAATTAGGACCAAGAATTACGAATATATGTATGTGTATACTCCTATATATATTCTCATGCACGTTCACAACCTGAGCACAATTAGCAGTTAAGATCCCCCTCTCCGCATCCTCCATTTCGTCCATTCAATACTGCTTGGAATTGCTAGTAGGCGCCAGCAGGCGTCGCGACCAGCACGCCGCCCTCCGCTGGGGATCCATCGCCGTCATCGTCTACAACTGATACTAACTGCCGACCATGATGTGGGCCGGCTGCTCCAGTTCGTTGTCGTGCAGGCGGGAGGCGGTCACAACCTGACCGCCCAGACCGCTCTTGAATAGATCCTCGGAGCTGAGCTTACAGCTCGGCACCAGCTCCGTGAACTCCGACCCCAGTCCGAACTCCATGTCCAGGAATCCGTACTCCCAGGTATTGGCGCCCGCCGACACATTGGAGCTAATGCTGCTTACATAGGACGAGGTTAGCGAGTGGGTGGCCGAGGAAATGGTGGACAGGGTGGTGAATGTGGCGGTGGTGGAGCTGCTTCCGCAGGAACTGCTACTGCCGCCGCTCGCCTGCACGGTGGTGAAGCTCCCGCTGAATGCCAACGTGGACCCCGA